TAGCCGCGCGGGGGGCGAGGGGCTCGGCTGCGCGGGGCGGGGAGGGGGCGCTCGCTCGCTCACTCTCGGCTGCGCACACGCCCGTACAAACTCTCACACAGACACACGCGGGGTGCGCTGCCGCCGCCCGCCGCTGCTCCTCCTCCCGCCACCGCCTTGAGAGGGAGAGAGAGGGAGGCAGAGAGAGCGCTTTGTCCGCGCGCCGCCGCCCGGCCCGGGACTCTGCCCCGAGGAGGCAGCCGCGCCGAGTCCCCGCCTCCGCCTCTGCCCCCGGGCGGGCCGGGCCGGCCGCGGTGGGGGGAGCCAGGCTGAGGGTGGGGGTGGGTGGCGGGCGGGCGGAGGGCGGGGAGGGGGGGCGGAGGAGGAGGAGGAGAGACGAGGGCAGCGGAGGAGGCGAGGAGCGCCGGGTACCGGGCCGGGGGAGCCGCGGGCTCTCGGGGAAGAGACGGATGATGAACAAGCTTTACATCGGGAACCTGAGCCCCGCCGTCACCGCCGACGACCTCCGGCAGCTCTTCGGGGACAGGAAGCTGCCCCTGGCGGGACAGGTCCTGCTCAAGTCCGGCTACGCCTTCGTGGACTACCCCGACCAGAACTGGGCCATCCGCGCCATCGAGACCCTCTCGGGTGAGCAGTCGCCGCTGCCCCCTCCCCCCGCCTCGCCCAGCTCAGGCCGGGACGGCGCCCGGAGGGAGGCCGAGCCCGGCGGGCGGCGCCCGGCGGGGGCTCCCGCGCCCGCACACTCACTTCCACGCACCAGACCCTCAACTCTCGCCGCCGGCCCGCTCCCGGGACGGCCCGCTCCCCTCCCCCCACCGCTCCGGATTCCCCCCTTGCCCTCCCAGCCGCAGCCCTGGGGCGACCCCCGTGCCGCTCCGAGGGTGCCTGGGGCTCGCTCGCTCTCTGGGGGCACCCCTCCTTCCCTGTGCTCCCGGGCTGCTCTTCAGAGTTTCCCCACCCCCATCCTCAGAGAACCCCCGTTCCCTCTCTTCCCTGACCTTCGCGTCACCCCCTTTGTCAGGGACCCCCTTCCAATCCTGCATCTCTTTCTCTCTTGACCGGACCTTACCCCTATCCTTGCCTCGTGCCCGGGACCTCTCGCCCTCTGGCGTCCCCTGAGCCGCACTCTCCTTTGGAGCCCCCTCCCCACCTCGCCTCGCGGTCCCCCACTTTCGGCACCCCCTCGGCGCCACCCTGATGATCCCCTCCGAGGCTTCGGGACTCCCCCAACCCCATTCCCTGCACGACGGCACATCTCTCTCGGTCCTCTCCCGAACCTTAGTCCCCTCTCGCTCGTCTCTCAAGCGCTCCTATTTTTCTCTGAATTTTTTGTCCGATTTTATTGAGAAGAACTCGGGGCTGGGGGCTTTCCGCCGCCTGTCCCCCCGCCTCCCGCTCGGCCAGAAGCACCTTTTTACGAGGTGCCCTGTCTCAACTCGGTGGGGGCCCGGGCTGAGAACCGGGAAAGAGGCGACCGGGGGGCCCGCGAGAGCGCTGGAGCCCAGACGGGAGACGGAGAGCGACACACACACACACTCGCGCGCGCGCGCACTCACCAACTCTCCCTCTCGCACACGCACCGCTCGGAGCCGCGCTCGCCCCAAGGCCGGGAGCCTGTGCCCCCCGAGCCCCGGCCCGGCGGAAGACCCTTCCCCACGGGTGCGCGGGGTGGGGGCGGGGCGGCGGCGAGGCCAAGGTGACACCCTGGAGCCGGCCGGGACTGGGCTCTCGCAGCTGCGGCCCCGGGGTGGGGGGCTTCGGTGCGTCTTCTCCGGGCCACCGGGTGGAGAAGTCAGGGAGGGGAGCGCAGCGGAGCCCTCGGGGCCCGGGTTAGCGGAATGGAGAGGTGGGGGCCGGGAGAGGAGCGGGGCCGCGCCAGCCCTGCAGCTTGAGTTTCAAATGAGCTCATCCTTTCAAATTGGCGCCGCTCTTTATTAAATTTGTTTTTCCGGTAATGCCACCCACAGCTATACCTGGGGTCGGATCCGGGCTCGCGCCCTTCCCACCTCGTCCCGAGACACGGGGCGCCCACCTTGCTTCCCACTGGCAACCAAGTTTGCCCAGCTCGAGCCCGGTAGGAGACCCCTTGAGGGCGCCCGAAGGCGGAGCCCGAGCGTGGAGTTCTGTGCGTGCCCCTCCTAGACCCCCGCCGGTTTGATCTAAGGAAGGTTCTGAGTGCTTTAATTTCTGTTTTAAAGGTAAAGTGGAATTGCATGGGAAAATCATGGAAGTTGATTACTCAGTCTCTAAAAAGCTCAGGTAAATATATTTTGCTTGGTTATTTTGTGATAGGGCTTAACGTATAAATACCACAGTACACTCAGTTTTTTAAAAATGTGCTTTTATAGTTAAAAAACTGCTTTTGTTTGTTTTGTTGGTGGAGATAACGTAGTTTAGAAAGTTAGATTTTTTACTTTCATTATATAAGGTGTTTACTGTACTTGGAAAATATCTGGTGCCTTATTGGGGGGTGGGGGGTGGCGAACTCTAGCTGTGTGAAATTCGCTGGGACCGTTAAACTTGTTTATCAAAACTTGCCTCCCACCCCTCACTCCCACCCCTACCCCCAGCACAGTGGCTACAAATGCTTGTCAAGACTTCCTGTGAGATGTTAAGAGTAAATATTTACTTTGTCAACTAAATTGCTTAACTAAACTTCGCGATTAATTAGTTTTCTTTTTTAGATAGCTTAATGTTGAATAATAAAATAATTCAGTAAGAGGTCAGTATTTTGCATAGCATTGTAAAGAAGTGGGTTGTTTGGAATGGGTGGCAGTTAAAAAGCCAGACTTTTTTAGTCCCTGAGACTACTGAATATTGCTTCTGAGCGTTTTGTTGTTGTTGTTGTTGCTTTTAAGATATGTTTGAAGCTAAACAAGTATCTCTATGAGTTCTGTAGCTACATTTAAGGGCACTGTTGTTAATGAAGGAGTAAAGAATTTTGTGGAAGTTGGATTTCTCCACAGTGATTTGCCTGCAAGAGAAATATCTCTGTGAGGAGAGAATGAGGGAGAACATCTTTGTTTAAAGCTTATTGTGGACTTTAAATTGGGCCCCTTTATTACTCATTCTAGATTTTTTTTTTTCTCCCATGTGTTGTAACTTAGTTTATATCCCGTTCACATACATTTCTTCACCATTAGTCATTAAGTAGCTGGACTGAAAACTCTTAAGTCTTTGATTTGCCACCTTTACATTTTCTGATACTCAACAGTGCAACCACTTACTTGATTTTTGCCAGGATTGAATAGATTCTAAAACAAACCATAATAATTTTATAAATACTTAGATGTTTTGTTGAGGAGGTTTTAAAAAACTGTGGGCTCATTTTCAGATACTTTTATTTTAACTAAGCAACAGAATATCTTCTTTGCAAATGATTGTGGCGTATCAGAAAGCTTATGCCTTTAAAAAAAGGCAAAAGTTATGATTTGCAGTTTCAGATGAAATATAAAGCTAGTTTTTCTCTCTAGGAACAGATGTAATGTGTAGCTGATTGGTTTTTCAGTTAAGTATTCTAAATTTGTATACTTCTATATATATATGTGTGTGTACTTTTTTTTTTTACCTGAGAAATCCAAGTTGAAGCTTTCTGATGTATTAAGTATTTATTAAGAAATTTAAATCACTCATCTTTTACAACACTTGAAAATTTGATGAAAATATTGAACAAGGTTTGAAAGAACCACCTAAAACATTTGAAGGGCTATTATTCTATAAATGCCTAATTCTATTGGCTGTATAGCTGTTCTGAGTCCTTTTTTGGGTTATAATTAATGAAAAAAATCACTAGAATTCTAACTTTGGTGAGTTGGTGTCTCATTTCATGTTATGAAGTGCATTATCTCATGTTGCAATGTAAGTAAAATACTAATTTAAAGTTACTAACATCTCCTAAGACTTCTCACAAGTATACTTCTTCTAAACTTTTTCTTTCAAAATGCAGGAGTTATTTGCTGTTAGCCAGAGTGTCATTTAACTAATTTTGTTGTGTTTATGTAAGAGTTCAGAATTAAAAGCATGTCCCCAATTTTTAGTATTAATTAAATAAAGAACAAACTAGGACTTAAACAGCCTTATTAGTACAAGATTTCTTTGAACATGTGGGCAATATAAAATACCTAGGAGGTAGATTAAAATGCGCTGTGTATGATTCACTACACTGAAGACGTCTGACATACCAAATGTATGCATAAGCTGCTGTTTTAGAGGGTTGCATCATTTCTGATTGGATGGCTTTACTCTTTTTTTTTCCCCCCTTTACTTTATTGGTTTAAAATGCAGGAATTAGTTACTTGTTCTGCAGGCTAAGGGAGAGATGTCTAATGACTGGTGTTGTGTACTGAGCTCAGACCCCTGGGATGAAGCAGCTGTATGTTCTCATGTACAGGGCACTACCACGGTGCTGGCTTTCAAAAAGCAGGGTACTGTGACATTTGAAACCAAAGCTTTTATGTTATATGGTGACTATTTTGGTGTTCCTTTGTTGCATTTCCATGAAATTTAACAAGTTAGAAGCAAATTTGTCAGCGTTAAGTCAGTTCTATATGTGGTTTTTGTGTTAGTTGAAGTGAAAATGTGAAGAAAACAATTCATCCTCCTTGCTTGCTTACTTAAAAATCATTCAACAACTGAGTGCTCATTTTCTTTATATTCTGATTTCTTTCTGCTCTCAGGAATGAGTTTTAATATTTACATTCCAAATAGACTTTTTAAAGCTAATGATAATTTGGGAGGAGATGTTTTTATCTTAAGTTATGAAATTATTGGCATGCCATTTGCTTACCAATTGGGTCTTTTGTTAAATGTCATTCTAGCATCATTTTATATATGCTATTATAGTAGACAGACTATATAACCGTTATATTCTCAGGGTCATCAGAAGTAGAAAACTCTTGGTTTTTTTTTTTCTTTTTGGCACATGTGTTTCATTCTTATTAGATGCAAATTATTGTAATGTAAATCATAGACACACCACCTATTTTTTACTTTCTAAGTTGGTTTCAGGCTCTGCTGAATAAAAATCTTTGGATCTTTTTTCTCTATTCATATTTCTTGGTAGTGTATATGAATCAAAGATTGCTTAAAGAGGAAGAAACTGGAAATTGCTTTAAAAATCTGTTAAAAGTTGTGGAAAATGCCTTGACAGAAATTTCATTTTTCTTGTTGAGTTTTTAGTTGGAAAAAAATGTATATGTACATATCTGTATATGTACCTACACACTTGCACACGCATACATACACACACACACACATGCACCCACATCACATATATTGTTTGGAGCGAGAACATACGCTAACCTGAATGTGCTTTGTAACTGAAGTTGAATGATTCTGTGAGAAACAAAACTTTCAAAAATGTGATTTCTGCCCACTGCTAGGAAGTAACCAAGTGGTATAGACATGCTTTCACTGAGATGGTGTGAATACTATGAGATAGTGTAGGAAAAAGCTATGAATTTGTCTTTCATGAGTTAAAAATCAGTAATTGTGTTGTCTCCAATGCAAATGAATTCAGTCTCCTATAGGAATGTTAAAGAAAACAGTATCTCAATTGTATTTTGCTTGTATGTACTACATTGTGTATAGTTGAATTAAATACCAAAAAGAAAAAAAACAAAAACAAAAACAAAAAAAAAAAAACCATCCAACCTCAAGCCCTTCCTGCAACAAAGGCTTTTGCTACATCAATTTTTAATTTTGAAAAGATTTTTTTAGGTTAAAATTATATGGTAGGCTTCTATTTAAAGAATTTGTTGAATTAAAAATTGATGCCTGAATTTAATTAAATAGATTGCATGTGTGGATATAATGTATATTAATATAAAATACATGTCAAACTGTAAGATAACTTTAATTTGGCTTTGAGTTGGACATTACATTTCCCATTTTAAAAAAGGCTAATAATTTTTTCATATGGTTCTAGGCTGTGCCATAAACAATTACACGTTTTTGTAACCTTTAAGAGATAAGTATTAGAATTAAAATAGAAGCAATAAAAAAAAAACAGTTGATAATTCAGGTGGTAGTGTAGGTTTAAAATTCAAGCTTACAAATATTAAAAAAACTGGTCATTTGATGTTTTTACCTTATTTAGTTAAATATTAAAAGCCACTGAAATCTACAAATCAAAATAGTTTTTATGTACTGCTTGATTTTCCAATTTGTCAAATTCATCTCCATTTTAAATTTGTATTGTAGCAATTTATGAAAGTTTTAAATGGCTACATAAACATTAATTCTAAAAGGTGATTTGGTGATATGTGATGCATTTGTCAAATTGTGTTTTTTAAAATAATATTTCCTTGTAATTATGGCTGGGTATAAGATGACTAGTAAGGGATCGTCTCAAAGGTTTATTTTTTATTATTTTAACCTGAGATTACATAAAGATGAGAGAAGATTAGTAATATTTGTGTAGCACCTTTTATATGTAATGATATAATGTATTTTCTTTAAGAAGAGTTTTTATAAAGGACATTAGGCAGTTTGGAACTAATTGCATATCAAAATCAACATTTCACTATTTTGAGTAAATGTTTTTATTTTATGGAGGTTGATCCAGTTTTTCAAGTGGGGGGGGTATGTAAATGATGTTGAAATGTGCATAAAAGGATAGGAACTTGGGCACATTTATTAAAAGTCAAAACTATGAAACTCAGATTTCTACAGGAACTATTTACACATATTTGATACTTCTCAGCTTTCTAAATATTTGCTGTCTATCGCTGAATCACTCTTCCAAGTCTTCTAATGGAATTCTCAAAAGTAGATGAGCAATTGGTCAGTTGTGAGAGGATATTATTTGAGCTAAGTGTGTCATCTCTGTGATTCAGTGGGTGTGTGCACATGGGTGTCTGTGTGCGTGTGTGCTTTGTGGGGGACAGTAGTTTCAGACAGATGGTATCAGGAGGCAAGAAAAGGAAATCTTTAACTGAGCAACGATTGCTCTGGATTTCAGTCTTGACAGGGCAAATGAAAATTGCTAGGTGTTTGAACTTTGTGACAAAGGGAATCAGTATTTGCTTTGAGTGATGCATGACTCTTATAGGTGCTTAACCTTGTGGAAGCCAGGGCTCAGGTACCTGTGTGGCTTCTTCAGTGAGCTTGCTGCTGGGAGGACCATCCAATGCACAATCTATTCTTCTTTCTTTTGCTTGGATATCCCTTCTCACTAGTAGAGTTAGTTAGCTCAGTGACTCTGTGAAGGCTCTGATGATCTATAAGCCATTTTTATAAATGATAGAAAATTAAAGATT